ACATATGGTTCTACTGTAGTAACAACCACCCCCTCTGGAGAAACACATCCATTGACTCAGTTAATTAAAATATCAAATGGGGTTTTAGCTAGACTGATGAAGACGACATTTAGTCGTTGTGTCAAGGGAGGAAGCTAGGTAAACAAAAAGGAAAGGGTTACTATCAATCAAGTCCCTCCTTGAATTTGTCAGATTCTAAATATTAATTATTCATCAAACAGGTGGCTGATGGTTTGTAACTTATGGAGGAGGAAAAACTGAAAAAGTTTGTCAAAGTTTTGGTGAAGGATTAAACTCCAGAGAAAATGAATGATGACATGTGCACACCAGCCAGATGGTTAGTAAATGTTACATGCTGTCATCTGTCCAAAAACACAATAGGGATCTGCAGGAGTCTGTGAGAAGCAGAGAGAGAAGAAATTAGTAATCTATGCAATCCACAACTGCAACAGTCATCCCCAAGTGTGTCCTTCCCTTATTTTAAAGCCAAACAATACTGCTCAATCTTGCTCATAAAGATGATGACTGATGCTTTTGTCAAAATGAAAATGCTGCTATGTTTTGAATAAAGCTTGAGTTGTATCCATTGTTGAATACTGTAGAATATCTCACTTCTGGACACAGGGTACATGGATGAACCTACTACAGAAAGCTCAGAAGGTATTATTGTTTGTATTTAGAATGGATTTTCAAGTTGCCTGAACTCGAGTGTCTTATAGTCCTTTGGTTCAAAGACACAGATACTGTATACACTTGAAATCACTGTGTACATTACTTCATATTATACAGTTTTATAAATCTCCAAGAGGTGACCATTTTCGAGATTCGTTAAAAAATGTGTTGCATATGTGTGATCAGCCTTTCACAGCCCCCGACAGTTTTCAAATACATTCCAAGCCATTACTTTTGATTACCCATTGTGGCAGTTTGGGGGTGGAAATGTACAGTACGTTTGTTTCAGTTATTTTATTGAAGAGCCAGGTCGGTCTCTCTCTGAACATGTAAGGTAGGGGTGATCATTAGATAATGTCCTGTGTGTTTATTCTCCGTAATTTTAACCAGCAAACCCAAACAATGAAGTTCAAATGCACATTTGCATTGGAACAACTGATGAACTCAGGGTCAGAGCTGCAGCTGCCGGTGTGAGAACCTAATCTTGTTCAACGCTGATGCTGCCATAGTATCAATAATCACAACAGCAGTAATGATAAACAACAAGACAGGAGATTGATAAAAGCAAGTTGAAAGCATAGCTATAACTCACTAAATAGAATGTAAATGTTTCTCTACGTTGATGAAAAAATAAGGAAGTAGAGAGAGAGCAAGGCATAGACTTTGAGAAACTACACAGCACTGCTTTCCAAGGATTAAGCGGCTCGTAGAAAGAGTGCCTTGGAGTGTTGTGCTGCCATTGTTGCTCAGGAGAGAGGGGGATGATATAGATGACAGAAAGGGATGGCTTGAGAATTGGAGCAAATGGCCGGGCGCAATGATGGGTAGGCAGAGGGACGGGCATGCATGGACGTGTGGTGTTATGGGCTGGACCATATTATAGTCAGCTTATAAGAATCGGAATCCTTTATTGCCTTTGTAAGTAAGTGAGTAAAATTGCACACAAAAAATGTGCAGAACAGCGAGGCCGTGAAAGGTGAACAGAGGTGAACAGGATTGTAGTAAGGGACTACTGTAATTGAAATGTGGATCCCCAGTAAAAAAAAGATTGTATTCATACCAAACTTCAGTCTGCTTGCACTTATAATGTCATTATCGCTACCTGGGTTTAAATGATGGATCAATGGATTTATGTTACGCCAAATTCGGTCAGCTGTAATGCAGGTTTGACCAAAGATGCAAGAACACTTATACACTCAAAGAAATGATTCAGGTGGTTAGTATTTTGAACTCAAAATACATACTAAACTAAACTCAATAATTGATTTTTGCCAGTTTTACTTAAATTAGTGTGGTCGCAACTCATTTTAAACATGTCGGTCTCAATTAAAAGTTAATACAAGAATCCTAACTCATTTTTGTAACAAATTTGAACTTGATATTCTGGCATAACTGGACAACGGAGAAGTATTGAGTTTGCTCAACATGAAAATCCTCTTGTAAGCCTGGTGGCCCATTAATGAAAAAACAAATATATTGAGTTGATTCAAAATAAATATATTGTGTTGATTGAAAACAAAATGTGGCGAAGCAGTGACGCTACCCAGAATGCATTGCAGCGAAAAATATAAACTTCTTAAAAATTCTACATTTGAGCATTAATTTTAAAACTGAATATGAAGCAAGTCCTAAAGCAAAATACTTGAGCAACATTCTGAATAAACTAATTTGACCAAATAAGTAATTGTATTTATTTTTATCAACCATGGTCGAGAGGGCCAAGCCAAAGCAGTCCTATACTCCCTGTGTCACCCTTCAATTTTGAACAGATACTTTAAGGTGGACATGTTTACCAGTGACTGTGCTGGCCCACTCTCATATATATGTGGAGTGAGAGACTACTGCCTGAAATTAACAATTGTGAACCGTTTTGTGAATCTAATCTTTGAAAGATGGTATTTGAATAAAGATTACGTATTCCTGACTGAAAATCACTTGTTGAATATACTCAAAAAGATTTATTTTCAATGTAATTATTTAAGTTGGTAGTATTGTTAAAATTAAGTTGAACTGATGCTAAAACACTTGCTGAATATACTTAACAAAGTGTCTTTATAACTCAATTATCCAAGTTGGTGGTATTGAAAAAATTGTGCTGGACCAATGATAAAAGACTTACAAAGAATACTTAAAACACAGTCTTGTTCGCAAAACTTAAAAAGATGCATGCAAAATGCTGCCTCAATTTTATTAAGTTTTGCCAATGCATTTTTTTTTAGAGTGTAGACTGGTTCACACTGGGGTAGTCTTGGACAGTTTTTCCAATGTGGTTTTACTCATATGGCAAATACATTCTTGAATCTTGAAACAAATACAGAAACCACATATTTGAGCATTGTTGTTATAATCTGCCGTTGTTGCACTATAATCTCTATTAAACAAATCAAACCTTCTGCAGATTTCTCTTGGAGCCCTGCACTGTGCCCGCTCCCTCACTCGTGGTGCTCCACTCGAGGTCAATGGTTTTAAGCACTTTCTAAGTCCTGTGGGAACTTCACCTCGCCACAGTCCGCCCAGGGCAGACGTTAGCCTTATATTTCATGTAGATGACACAGATTTATGATCTTTTTCCTTATTAGAAACGTATTTAACAATATTAAGTTGACATTTGCTGATGAAGAGAATGTTGGGCCTAAAGGCTTTACATTAGTTATTGGATACTTCAGTGAAATGCTTTTACATTTCGCTTGTCTTTTGGGAGAAATTAAATCTTTTAATTCCATTTAATTTATTCTTGTATGGCCCTATATCACAACAGTGGGTATCTCAGAGAAATAAGAGAAACAAAACCATTGATTCGCCAACACGGTTCAAAGAATCAAACACAAACAATGCTATGACAAAAGAAAAAAATACATAGAGCCATTGTTTCATAAGGGGTAGATGATCAATGTCCATAAATGTGTCCAGATGTTATTCTTCCTCATACAAAAAAGTACACCATAATATACGCAAAACAATAACTTTTTTTTTTTTTTGTATACATCTATTCTTTTGTATTTAAGTAAAAAAAACAACAACTTTCAACTGTGGGTAATGGGCAATTAACAAAGGCATTACTTCTCAATGACAACACTTAATTAGGCTATTAGTTCCTGTGTCAATGAAAATAATGAACTCGAACTAAAAATGGCATGCTGACTCTCTCATCAGGAACGTCCAAAAACTCATGAATCCAAAGTTTATTGGAGTGACTTGGTTACCGGCCCTTGTTGTGGATCAAAATGGCGGCATCAATGCAGAGTGATAAAATGAACAAAAAGCTGAGAGTTCAACCAAGAGTCAGACGCAGCAGACGGATAAAGGCATCAGCTTTTGGATGTCTCATCCTTGTAATCAACATAATGACAAATAGTATGTGCGGTGATAAGTGAGATTTTTCTTCTCTAAAAAGCCAGCGTCATGCATAATTGTTACTTTTTATTGATTTCCCTTTAATGATCTGCCAGAATGTATCACTTTACAATCTGCTCACTCACGCTCTTCATATCTGCCTTTGATGGACTCAGCTCCTCTGGCTGTCATCCACTTTCTTAAACTTCTTTTGTCATTGCTCAAGTTTATAGCAAAGCTTTGGATATAGTTATTTTCTGCATTTACAAACAGTCTGTGGAGGATCGTAAAAATGTAATAATAAAGTACCTATTGATCATTGATATTGCCATATAATTGAATCTTAGTTATTGGTATTTCTTACATAATCTAAAAAGAGCAACACTAACTTTTTGTGGGTTTGACCATGTTACAGCCTTGTTCCCTCGTCAAAAACAGACCTGGAGTTGATTTTAACTCAATACACACTTATATCAGCAACTTCTGTCTAAAGGCTCATTGTTTAAAACATACAATGATGCAATTGCCAGACTATTACATCATCGTCAGAGCAGTTTCCTGCTCTTTCAAACCAAAGTATTACCCATAAATATTGTGTTCCGGCACTTTCTCCTTGGAAATTACTTAAAATAAAATCACATATCACAGCTGGTATTTTTTGAATTAGATGAAAAAAACTTGTCCCTCTAGTGGTAGCAAGGGGACAACATTTGGGTACCTTAGTGTATTTCTTGCCATATCTTTTAGTAGAAACTAATATGAAATTTCACATAACAAAACATGAACAAGTCTCATTATAATTTAAATGGTCAAAAGTATTGCATGATATTTCTTCTTTAATACACATTTTTATATAGTATTTCTGTAGAGGTAAACTAATAAGAGAAAATACACAGCTGTGCATTCAAATAAAATTAAGCAGTTGTTCTCAAAAGCTTTTATAATTGAATGTCCTGACTGCTCCTCTCACAGCTCCGTTATGTGCCCTTCCCCAGGCAGAAGAACTTCGCCCGCGGCATCGACCAGCAGCTGCCCGATGGAATGGTAGTAGCGTCGGTGCCAACGGAGGTGCAGTGCCACGAGGAGCTGTCCGACCCGGTGCCCGACAAGGAGTACCTCACAGGTCTGAGCCATTTCTCATACACACACACACACACACACACACACACACACACACACACACACACACACACACACACACACACACACACACACAAGAACATACACAAAAAACAGGGACACAGAAAGACACTAACAAACCTGCACACAGACACACACATACACCTACTGTACATACATGCACATACTCAGACACGCATCAACACGCACATACGCGCACAAAAACACGCAGGCACCCATCTACACACACACTGACACACATCCACGCACACAGAAACACACACTATCCCACCTACACACAGAAACACACACTATCCCACCTACACACAGAGATTCACATAAACCCACACTAGCACCTACAAAACACACAGGAGAGCACGTATACACACAGATTTGCACACACACTAAGACATGCAACTACGCACACCTACACGTACACAAACAGACACACTGCTGCGAGGCCAATCATTGCTCTGTCAGAAACACACACATAAAGTCCCTTGCTGCCTGATAAATGGAAACTGCAAAAAGTGGTACTAATAATGACAATGATGAGCACATTTCTGTCCTCCTCTAACACACACACACACACACACACACAACCTGAGCTGTGTTATATTTGCTTGTTGTTGTTTCCTTTATCTGGGTAGCTATAGCAAAGCCCTGAAGGTACAAAAGTACCAGAATTTCTGAGCTCCTGAATCTCACAAGCATGTCCCTACATGTACATTGTATTAAATATTTTTCTTTTATCTATTTCTGTTATTGATTTTTACCAGTTCTCTATCTCTTATACAGTTTCAGGGCTTCACCTTTTGTGTGTTTCACATCAGATTTCTGAAAAATCTATGGCGCCGAAAGGATTAAAGCATATTTTTTTGTATTGTGAAGATTCACAGGATACATGGTTGTACAGAAAATATAGCAACTTTGTACATGTTTTAGTTTGTGTGAACACTCAATAGTAACAGTAAAGCACACATTTAATTGCTCATATAATTTCCATTTACAGCTAGTTTAATTTCATTAACAATGTTTCAAACCTCATTTTATTTTTCAAAACCACCAATCATAAACTAGTGATATTCTCAAATTATAGTTAATATTGCTACAGGCCACTGGGCAATAGGTGTATCAATAGGAGATTCTGATAGCCATGAGGTCAGGGATTGTGTAAAGTTGCTATATCGGGAGATTATGTAATGTATGGTCAGGTTCTTGCCATTCCCTGCTCTACTATGAACATATTCTATCACTAATTTGCTCAAATATCCTGTGAAGAAATAAAAAGTTAACTTTTTAGTACTTTAGTTGTATACATCACACTAAGGAAGTAAGACACTGTTGTCAAAGGTCCAATAAGTGCGAGTTGTTCCAGATTATTGTTGTTAGAAGTCAAATTCGACTTGTTTTTCTTGTGTTATTATTGGCAAATCAACACCGCATAATACAAGTTGAGCCATGAGCAGCATGTTTGTTATCGCATACACTGTTATCTAATATTTAGCAGTGTTGTGCCAGTTTACAACTTTTCTGAACTAGTTCAAGTTCAGTTCATACATGCTCAAAGTAAACGTTCGAAGTTCACAATTTTAATTCTGAAGTTCAAAGTTTTGTTCATTTTACTTTGCGTGAGATATTCAAATAAATACTTTTTTTCACTACAAGCTAGAAATCACTATACGTGGTGTATGTATATATATGTGTATATATATATGTGTATATATATATGTATATATATATATGTATATATATATATATATATATATATATATATATATATATATATATTAGGGCTGTCCAAAATAGCGCGTTATTAACGCGTTAACGCAAATCAATATTAACGCCGTCATTTTTTTTATCGCGCGATAAAACACATAGAAACAAAGAAAAGGACTAGTTCAGATACATTGTAGACAGAGATTACAAACAATATGTAGTTGGAGATACAGGGGGCCAAAGAAGAAACCCAGAAGGGCACATAGGAGGGGAGGGACATGAAGTGGGAGAGGGGGGGAGGGGTTAATAAAAAAGGCAATACAAGCAAACAGTATACAGTCATAGATATACCGAAGGTAAACAGAGAAACAGCATAGAGTATTTACATGAACAAATTTACAAAATATTTACAGATTGTTTATCATCATCATAATGACACCATGATGTTTCTATACAGTCTATGGTCTATACCCACACATACACACACACACCCACACACACACATTGAAGGGGCTTTTTGTTACCAATTATTTATTTTGTCATCCATTTATTGATGATTTTGCATCAAATGTTAGTGTGTAATATAACACTACACATTGTTTTCAATAAAAAAAGCAATTGCACACAGCACGCAAATGTGTGACTAATTTGCGATTAATCGCGAGTTAACTATGAAATTCATGCGATTAATCGCGATTAAATATTTTAATCGTTGGACAGCACTAATATATATATATATATATTTCCTGTACACCGCAAAGCATGTTTTGACTCCAAAACAGACAAGATTTACATGGTTTTCAATGGGAACTGAGTTGTCCCATCTCTGCTCATAAGTACTACAAACTGTAATGCGTTGCAGTGCTTGTGTCTATACTTTATGTCAAATGTAAACGGCCCTGTGTCACTAACTTACACTGTGTTTTCATCACGGCACATGTGAGTCCAACAACCAATGAATAGCACTGGCCTACAGCGCCGCACCGTAGTAATACGGAGTCGGGGTGCGTTCACAGACGGTGGAAACCGTGGCAATTTTTAGTTTTCGGTGGAAAAAGTGCGGAGAATGGAGGAGGGAGGAACTTTCTCCCGTTGCATTTCAAAAGAGAAAAGAGATATCACTCAGTTTTCAATTGAAAACAAATTGTCTGCCGTTCATGATACATAATATGAACTAATTCACGTTCAGTTCAACGTTCACGAAAAAATGAGCGTGTTCAATGAACGCGTTCTTTTGAACTCTTTCACGCACAACACTGATATTTAATTGCTGAGAAAAAGACGCCCAAATAAATAAATTACAGTATTTGACAGCATACTCAAGTAACGTCAAGAGCTGTGTTTAGTAACTCCAAATGAGCTCATAATGTAAATTGCAGTATGCAGACTTTGAATCTATTGTCACAAGTTAGTGTGTTATGAGTATTTCAGTCGCTGTTGGTGCATTTGAAGTGTTTTCATAGGTGTTTTATTGAGGTGAAATCTGTGGCTGTGAATGGCGTCATGAGCTTTGGATATTGTTTGAAAGGATGAGGTTGCAGATACAAGCGGTCAAAATGAGTTTCCTCCCCAAAGCGCTCACACTGTACTGTATGGACTGAGCTCTCTGTTGTCGCTTTGATTAAATTATTTAACAGGGAAAGGCTCGTGGCAGGAAGTCAAAAATAGCTTTCAACGGAAACCATCTTGAGCTCCTACTCCTGAGGTGGCAGATGGCGCTAGTCCTACAGTAGGAGGATATAGGGGTGACATTGAAAGATAGATTGATTGATGGATGCATACATACTTTTTTGATCCCCAAGAACATTGTGCTTTAGTGCCTTGCTCACATTCACACAAACACAGAAGGATAAACTTAAAGAAAAAAACATACAGTAAGTCAAAACACTCACATAAGCTGAGCTTGCAGACTGCACGGCTGCAGGGCCCTCCACACTGCTGCAGACATGCACATTTGTGAAGAGAAGAAGTATATGTAAAAGTATTGAAATCTTCCCCTTACATATCCAGGAGGGACCTCTCTCAGGTGGCTGGGAACACCTCAGGATCCAGCATTCCCCTGGATGAGCTGCTGCCGGGAGTGTACATGGATAGGGAAGCATATTGATCGTTTGCATTGAGGGGTGAAAGTATTTTGAAATTAGTTACTTACTTGAGTGTAACATTTGTTCATATCGTTAAGGAAAAACGAAAGACTTGACTCTTGATTTGTGATTTAGAAGCTTTACAGTTTGCATCTTCTTGTGCCTTTATGTAGCTGTGCCCTCCAGACAATCTCTGCTCAGAAAAATGGCATTTTAACACACACAAGATCAGATGAAGATAAAATAAACTGTATTGATTTCACAATGGCGACTTATACAGATACTGCATTGCCTTTAGGGGATTTGTTGACTGTATGTTATTTGTCATTTATGTTCTTACCTGCACCTGGAAATATCCACCCACCTGATGTCTGGATCAATCTAAGATTATACAGAGGCTGTGAGTCACAGGAGCAGAGGTGCATGGCTCAGCGCTCTGTCGGGATGCATTAGTCGGGGGCAGCTCCATCCATTCCTCTGTTTTATTCATTATCAGTGAAGCCGTGGTTCACATCTGTCCATATCAGCTCACAGCTGGTCTGAATACAGACTTTGTCTTTGTGAAGATTCTACTGCACACGTCCATCTGCTCTGCTCATTAGCCACTTCCACTGACCTTCCTCTGCATCATACATTTAAGATGAGGCATTATAGCAAATGGGTGGAAAATTCAAATTAACCAATTCCAAGGCGCTTTGCTTTAATGATCTATAAAATAATAAATATCATGATAAATATTATGTGATGGACTGACTATTGTTCACCGCTTTAGACCTAAATATATGATTCAATGTTTATTAACTGGAGCACCTTTATCCCTAAATCAATCATCATTGTTTTTGTCCCAACAGAAATAGTCTTTTGTAATAGTAACATTTGGTGAACAAACCATCATATTAAATTTTTTTTATCTTACATACTGAGAAATGATTGGCTGAGGAAGGGCTGGCACTCTGATATAAAGATATGACCAGTGGGGGCAGGTCCCGGCTCAAAAGTGGCCTAAATGACGTGCGCTGACATGCTTGCAAAACCACCCCGGGCCGATGGGGGTGGACCCAGAAGAAGAATTAGCCAATGCTAACATATAGCGTTGGCAGACCTCTCGAAAACGTCTTTACAGGATGGTCCAAAAGTTGGCTCTTGGCCCAAAGCTCCTTTCCACATGTGTGTCAATGCTGAGGGCGGTGAATTTTTTTGG